GGGGTCATTACTCTGCAGTCATAAAATCTACCTATATGCTACTCTTTTTCTAGGGAACCTTCGTATGACAGACTGTATTCTCCAAAAACGAGCCTGACAGTATCTTTCATCTCATATGTGATTCTTTGCGTTCATCCCTTTGATAAATGGAGCCTGTATCAGTCAGGGTTTACTAGAGAAACAGATACAACACCAGATACACAAATGTATAAGAAATTACAAGATTGGCTTACAATGGTGAGCCACAAAGTCAGATGAAGGGAGCATGCAGAGCATGTCTGCCTGCTGGAGGTTGAACAGTTCTGCCCAAGGGCTGGAGATTACGGCAGTGTCCCCTGCAAGTCTGTATCAGGAGGCTGATGAATCTATGGTGGAGCACTGAAGAATCTGTGACAGAAGGCTAACGAGTCCCATGTGGAAGCCAAACAATCTGCGCCCAGAAGCCAGGAAACAACGTCCAAGCTGAGGGCATAGACTGGAGCAGCAATCAGTCTCTCCTTGCAGCAATCAGTCTCTCCTTTTATTGTATGCTGCCTACCTCTCAGGAGTAGATGTAGCAATCACCAGCTGCGTGCCCTGGTCTTGCACAGGCTGATGATGTTACGAACTAAAGACCTTGGCCCCCTGCTGAATCACCTAAACTTCCGACCTTCTCAAACTGGCACAGTGAACAATATCCTATTATAGTAGGGGCTTGTCCTCTACACCTCAGGATGTAGAGCTGCTGAGTCAGTTAAGCTTCTGGACTTCTCAAATTGACACAATCTATCAACCATAACAGAGTCTACCCTCCTCCTCTGGGATCTGGGCTGATCTGCAACAAGAATGAAAGAGTTGGTAGGCAACTTCCAAGGTCAACTCACAAAACAGTGTTCACTTGGAGTCTCTTGGCATGCTCTCTATTGGAAAAGCACAACCATTCTGTGCTGTTCCACATAGCCCTGGAAAGTATGAAGGTATTGACCCATTATTTATTCGAGCTTCCAGCTGGCAGGCTGAGCCAACTAGTCACCTATAGAAGCAAGAGATCTTGAAATAGATTCTCCAGCTTCCTTCCAATCAAAAGACTACATGTGACAATGTGGAGAGCAGAGATAAGCTGTTCACACTGAATTATCCCCCAGTTGCAAGTTGATGAGAAAAATATATGACAGCTGTTTTAAACTATTGCATTTTGAGGTAGTTTGCTACACAGCAATAGTAATAGCTACCGTGTTTCTTATACTTCAAAGCCTAAAAATTCCACTATATTTCTCAGATTCTTCTGCATCTCGAATTCTAATATAGAGAACTATAAAGTCTGAAGATAGTATTATATTCCCATTAATTGCAATGTAATAATAAATTACTTATTATATATTTGCTCATGATTTCCGACTTGTTGGCCAGAATTTAGAATAACCAAGTGAACAAAGGTCTTCTTTCTGTCCTCTTGGCTCCCATTGATGAGCAAGGGTATAGAGATAATGATATTTCTGCAAGTTGAGGTATCAAGTACTGGCATTTTAGCAGTAAGAGCTACATCTTCTCATTCCAGGTTCCCAGTCCGTAAGAACCTACTTGTGAGCACGTGCCTGTAGTCTTACTGCCTTGTGTGCCTTTCTTCTTACAATACCTAGGAAGTTTTCTTCTTGTTCTGAACACTAATTCAGCAGTCTATACAAGAAATGTTTAGATGCTGTTGCTATCACCCACTCATCACTTTTTAAGTATCTTCCCTTTCATCCACTGCTGCTGTAGCTTCCAAGCACATCTTCCTCTTGTTCTTCCCTTATTCTCAGCACTGCAGCCAAATAAATCTTTTAGAAGCACAAAGCTAATCATATCAATCTATTCTCCATCCTGAATTGTTTCAACCTTTTATCACACAATGATTTCACTAGTTGAAGTTGATTCAAATATCACAAGCTGAGGTCCTTTACCCACACTTGTACTTTTGGGAAATGTCAACAAGAGAATGTGCCTCTTTAGCATTAATAACCAATGCTTAAAAATAAGCGGAAGCATTCTTACCTATCAGCAAAGCCTACAAGAATGTTCTCTAATTCTCACTTCCATTTTGATCACACCTTCCCACTGTGGCTACACTGGCTTTATAAGTATCAATACTAGTCTGACATTGCTGCCATTTATACCCATGTACACACACACACACACACACACACACACACACACACAAAACTATGTCAGATCCCATGATAGGTGTTAAAGATACACTGGAAAAAGAAACATCATCAGAAGAGGCTCTAAGACAGAAAAGATCCTCGCAATGGAGGTGAAGGAAGTTCTACAGTTGACTATTATTTCTCAAGGTAGTAAAACCCAAACAGGGACATCTGGTAGAAAGCAGTACATAGAGTATAAAGCTCAGGTAAGAGTTTGGGATTCATTACAGACATACACGATATTCAGAGAGCTTGGTGGCATGCATGTAAGGTAGGGAAAGAAACTACAGCCAGGAGAAAAAATCTAAAAAGCGTCAATATTTAACATCTGGACAGTTGAATAAAAAGCTACAGAAGACCATTATCTCCATTAATATTTTACACATTGACCCATTTGCTTATTTCAGCGATTGTTAGGTGTTAAATTTCACAGTTCATAAACCAAATAATAACACGGTACCAGCCAAGTATTTTAACATAACTAGGCTAGTTTAGCAGTCCACACCCCATCTTCTCTGTTGATCATCCCCACGTTTTACAGCACCTACTCCAATTTCCTTCCTATCTTCCATATGACTTCTACTTACTTCTTTCAACCTAAAAAGAATAATCCTTTTTCTATAAATAGTTAAGTGACCCAAAAACATGTTCTTCTTTTTTATTGAGGCTGCTTGACTTGTTTATTCTGAGCCTGTATCACCATGAACCAGGCTAAGAAATGAACTCAGGGTTATTACAGCCAAGTACAGTTTATCTACGAAGTCATGTTTGGCAACAGCCTAGAATAATCTTCAGTTAATCAAAGACGAGAGTGGTTTCACAGAAACCTTATAGGTCTCTCTGGCTATGAGTGTCCTAGGGTTTATGAATTTGTTATTCAGTGACTTGGTACACATCATCAATCAACATAAAACAGGAAAAGTACTATAGTATTATACCAACAATTGAAGAGATGTAACCTCTTAACAACGTCTTTTTGTAATTCTTGCTAGTTTTATAATTATTGTTGGTAGCAAATATTAAGATTGAAAGTTAAAACAAAACTGGATACAGATAGTGACTGAATTAGCCCTCCATGACTAGCTCCAGGATAGCCAGGTTTTCTCACTGGATCCTTTCCATGAAACTCAGGGCTTGTAAATGAGGTTACCCTGTAAACGGCCAACAAATATATGTAATTCATTGTTTGAAAAGCTACAACTATACAAAATAAAGGGCAAGACTTTGCATAACTGCGTAAACTGTGCACAATGTCTAAGAAGAAACAAGTTCTATCAGTAATTGAAAATTTCTGTTTATCACAAGTTTCCCTCAAGAGGCATTAAGTTGTTTTTGCCTTAATAAACTACACATTTTAGGATTTTTAAAGGAAAAGTGTGTTTACCAAGCAACAATTTTCTCTAACTCTCAAAAAAGTTCCATATTGGTTTGGTATATCCCAAGTAGCCCATCTTTAAAAAGTAGTTTATAAGTCAGATAGGCCCAAAATTGTATCAAGTATTTTGAGGGTCTTCCACTGATCATATTCAATATCAAGTTTTCTCATGTTAAGCAAGTCATTTAACTTTGTGAAACATAATTTTCTCTTCTGTAACCAAGTAATTGTTGTGGTCCCTTCACCCCTACATCTACTTTTACGATGGTCATTATAGAGCTGATAGATCTATTGCTTGTATGAGCAGCAGGAATCTTTGAGGCATCTTTCAAAGGTACCCAAAGGATTGGAGGAAAAACACAAATCTAAAGTCTCATTAGCTTTAACTGAATTTCAGACAAAAATATTATTTTGCAAGAAGGAATAACAATGTTTCTGAGCATCACCTGGATGTCAGGTATTTTTCTTATACTATCATATTAACCTTTATAACCATCTTATGAGTTACTGTTATTCATGTTTTATGGAGAAAGAAATAGGTGCTGTGTTGTAAAACTGATCACACTATATCTAGTGTGGAAACCTGGACAACACTAACACCTTACTTGTATTATCTGCAAAAGGCCCAAAGAAGCAAGAATGATCTGGAAGTCTACAAAATTAGATTGGTGTTCCATACTTTGTTTTGAAAACCAAGTTCACCCAAGTTGTGTTCTTCCAAATCAAATTGTATTAGAACACAGCCATATTCATTCATTTATGTGTTGTCTATGACTGCTTCACACTACAATGGTAGAAATGAATAGTTATGACATCCTTGGACTACAAAACCTAAAATGTTTATTATCTGGTCCTTTATAGAAAGAAAAGCAAAACACTGAAGCATTGTAGATTTGTAATTGCAACTCACTCATCCCTATGTTCTAAAACCACCTTTGTTACTAAAATTCCTGCAGAATAAAACTTCATTCAAAGTCAATGTAGTGTTTGCTGTTATCCGGCTATTTAAGTGTACTGACATTTCCTTTTCTATCCTGCCATCAACAGTGACACTGGATTGCCCACCCTTTATCACTCACTCCCTTCATCTTACAACCCAAAGCCCTAGCAGAGAGCTCAATAGGTTTCCCTATTGAGATTCTAGCTTTGCAGTTCCCACTCAATCTGGGTACTCATCCAAACTGGGGTGGAGGCTTCTAAATTGGGAGTGGAATCAACGTGACAAAATCGTATGTTCTAAATGATTGTGTGACGGTTAAAAGATATAATAAAACTTTGTTTTAAAATGGATTGTTTATCTCCATATACTACTTGTAACAGGTAGGTCCAAGGCCTTCATCAGTTTTCTTTTTTAAAAAAAAAAAAGCACAAAAGATGTTTTCTCAATTGTTATACACCCTGTGTGTATTACCTGCTTATCGCAAAGGCAGAGTCAGACTCATGAATAAGGACACAAGCAGTTTGTGAAAGTCAGACAAGTGACTGACATACACCTTTAAAAGTAAAAGTATTTCCCACAAGGAAAGAAACAACAAAGTTCTCTTAAATTCAGTCTCTTCATAACAATTTGAGGTATAATTCACATGCTGTACAGTTCACACTTTTGAAGTATACAATTCAGTGGTTTGTAGTATAAACCACGATGTTGTGTCACCATTGCCATGATCAATTCTTCAATATTTTCCATACCCACAAAAGAACACTATGCTCATTAGCAGTCAATCCATTTACTCCCAACCGTAAGAGTAACCTCTTATCTACTTTCTCTGTACTGTTTTGACTGTTTTCGGCATTTCACATAAGTGAAATGATATATGTGGCCTTTTGTTTCCTTTTATTTAGCATGTAATCTTCATCTATATTGTAGCATATATCAGCACTTCATTTTTTACTGCTGGATAATATTCATTATATGGATGACATTTTGTTTATTCATTTATTAGTTGATAGGCACTTAGGTTGCATCAATTTTTGGCTAATTTTAATAGTTGTGCTATAAAGATTTATGTACATTTTTGTATAGACATCCTTTCACTGATCTTGGTTATGCCAGCAGTGTTTGAAAGCTTCAGTGTCTTTGTACTCTCACACTGCACTTGTTATTATGGTTTTATTGTAGCCATTCTACAGAGTAATAAAATGTATCTCACTTTGGCTTGATTTACATTTCCTGGTGGCTAGTGATGTTGAGAATCTTTTTGTGTGCCTATTGACTTCTTTTTTGTATCTTTGGAGAACTTTCAATTCAAATCTTTTTGTTCACTTTTAAACTGGGTTACATGTCTTTTTATGACTGAATTATAACAGTATTTTTATATTCTAGATACATGCTTCTTCCTGACCTGATATACGATGTATAAAATTTTTCTCTCATTCTGTGGGTTTTTGTTCTCTTGATAGTGTCCTTGGAAGCGCAAAAGATTTTAATTTTTAGTATGTCCAATCTATTCTTTCCTTTGCTATTTTTTATTGCCCTTTAAGAAACCATTGCATAATACACAATGTGAAAATTTATGCTAATGTTTTCTTCTAAAATTTTATAGTGTTAGACAAATATAAGATTTAGGTATTAAGTCCATTTTAGTTAATTTTAATATTTGGTACGAGTTAGGGGTCCAATTTCATTATTTGTATGCAGATATTCAAGTTTCCAAACATCATTTGGTGAAAAAGTTTATTTCCCCCATTAAATTTTCTCAGCACCTTTTTAAAAAAGCAATTAATCATAAATAGTGTTTAGCCTATATTACTATTTTAATGCTATCGAAAATTATTTTCTGAATATCACTTTAGTGCATTCATTAATACTTTATAGAAAGACAACAAAACTCTGTATTCTATAATCTATTGAATTTCTTTATTATTATTTGTTCTGGGTATGCCTTTGGATTTTCTAGATTCCCTGTAGATAGATTCTCATGCCTATTACTGGCAAATAGAAGTTTATTTCTTCCTTTCCAATCTAAGTAACTTTCATTTTCAGAGTACAGAGTGAATAGTAGTAACAAGAACAGAAATTCTTGTTTCTAATTGTAGCAGAAAGTAGGTTGATCTTTTGCCATTAACTGATACAAGCTGTGAGTTTTTCATAGATATATTTTATCAGGTTGAGGAAGCTCCTATGATGAAAGGATGTTGAAATTTGTTAAATCCTTTTTCTTCACCTAATGAAGGGATTGTGTGGATTGTGATTTTTATGTCATATGTTCCCTTTTCCAAATATTGAAGAGAAATTTTCTAAAAAGCCATATACTTAATATATTATAAATTTTAACAGGTATAAAAATTTAAAAAGGTATAAAGTAGTATTTTTGTAGAAGTTTTTAGATAAGTAGTTTAAAAATCTGAAATGATTAATTTGAAAATTAGTAAAACATAATTATATGAGGTATTTTTTCTGGCCACAACACTAAAATTTCATTTACTGACTGCAGGAAAGTATATTATTGTAAGAAAAGAGCTACAATAAATTAACAAATAGCATAATCACTAACACTTCTATAAAGACATGGAAAAATACACAGAAGAAATAGTATTAAAGTTCTTTGTTAGTGACTGATAACTCTTATTCCAAATATTTTCATTTTAAAAGAGATTTAAATTTCTAAAACACCATTGTATTGATTTAATCAAAATATATCAAGTTTTGTACTTTATAAAATAACATATTAACAAGCTTGTCACACAAGTGTTGAGAACACTGTTGCCTGGGAAGACCACAATAAAAAAATTCCCAACTATAATTTGATTGTGCTCTGTGTAGTGTATAGAATGCCTTCTTGTCTAATCTTCTCCAATATTGGTCCATAGATCTCTTTGGAAAAGGGGCCCATCAAGCCTTTGGCTTCAATTTCACCTGGAAGAAAACAAATGTGGTACTAAAGGTTCATTTTCCCAGCAAGAATCTCTCCAGAGAAAGGATCATCCTAGCAGCAAATGCAGAGGCAATGCATTGTTGGAGAGCTGAGCATTGTTTAAATAGCTGCTTAAATACCCTCTACCACATAATTACTTAGTGCTCTGAAAGGGAAAATGGTTAATCTGGGCTTAAAAGCACCACTGACCTTAAGGACAGTGACAAAATTTGTTCCATTAACTGCATCAATTCCAACCAAAAGGAACTGAGTACAATCTGGTTATTTAGACACAGGCACCTGGTAGGATGACTTAACAGGTCTAGGCACTTCCTACAGGAGTATACTGACTCTCTTCACTCTGGGTCCTCAGAAATTGGCATGTAGTTTAATTTCACATTGCTTAATATCTAGACATGTTTTCTCTTTATTTCATTTATATGCTGTGATGTTTTTCACTTTCTCAATTCACAAAGGTCAAATGAGGTACTCTTTTCATAGACGATGCTTACTGAATATACATGTATAAGCGTATGCATCCATAATGTAATCATCAGTCAGCAGTGTAAAGGCAGTATTTGCTCAATATAAATTGCATTTAGAGTTTTCCTCTTTTCTCAGGCTATTGATACACCATGTGATACTCTCTCGCAATGCCGGAGGGCAGCATTAATAAGCCATAGCTCCCAGTTGGGAATGAGATCCTGAGGGTAAACAACCTACATTTTACATCAAGTGCGTCCAACCCATAGCCTGTAGGCTGCATGCAGCCCTGGACAGCCAGAAATGCAGTGCCACAAAAGGCAACTTCACCCTATTATGTAATATTTGTCAGTGATATTTTTCATGGCTCGGTTGCGGGACTGGGGAGGCACAAGGAAATGCTGTTTAGGAGCGGACACAGCATGGCACTAATCATCCCTCCTGCACCTGCCTCCTGCACCAGACACACTGTCAGTCTAGCTGAAACCCAGGCTGTCAGGCTTTACATGACTTATGTGGCTATGGTAACTAAGACACAGCAATCACTGATACAGTATCTCAGTCCCCCTCCATGGGTGCACTTTGAAGACTGGTTTTTATTGTTCTATGCAGACATGAAAGTTTTCTTCTTTAATTACTAAGCTTGGGCTTTTGTTTTAAAATCTATAATAAAAATATTTCAAGGTAACTGAGGTTTTATTTATCTACATTAACTATATTGTATAGTTTATATGTGGCCAAGACAGTTTCTCTACATACAATGAGACCCAGGCAAGCCGGATGTTTGGACATCATGGTGTGTAGGCTACTGTGCTGATACATTATGGGGTTCAGCGGGTTAAATGTATTCAATGCATTTTCAATTTAGGATAGTTTTATTGTACAATGAATTTATTGGGATGTAACCCCACTGTAATACTATTAAGTAAATATTTTCTGCTGTTTCAAAGATACTTCTTTTAAAATAACAAAAAATAAGGCAAGAAAGACTGGAATAAACATTTCATTTTTTTTTTTTTTTTTTGTCTTTTTCGTTTTTATCGGTACCAGGGATCGAACTCACGACTGCCTGCTTGCAAGCAGGCACTTATGCCGCTGAGCTAAATCCCCAGCCCCTGGAATAAACATTTCCTACTTTGTGGACAAGTGGCAGCTTCACATAGTATTTCATGGAAGCATCACAAAGACTCTAGGAGTTAAGGGTGACAATATCCACTTTCAAAATGAGGAAACTGGCTCAGAGATGCTGAATGACTTGCCTCTCATCACCACTCAGCTCTCTTGCGACTGAGCTGGGTGGAAATCAGATCTAATTCTCCTCAGTTCTGAGCTATCTACAGGTCAGGTATCTTCAAAGGTGGCTCACTTTTAATCAATGTCAGTGTTATGCTTAAGACTCACTATTTAATGTCCAGGCACTGAATGACCTGAAGTGTACACATAGAGGCAGAATCAAGGTTCATGTGAACAGAACTTACCATCAAGCAACATCTTGGCTGCCATGGCTGTGGGTAATCCCACAGTTTTAGCCATTGCTGAAAACCCACTGAAGTCTCCATAAACCACAAGATCAATGGTTTTATTTTCTAAATGTCCAGAAGGATGTCTGATATCAAAGCTGTGTCTCATCACAACCATATCCTTTTCCTTAGGGCCTTAAAGTAAAAAAGATATTTTAAGGTGACACTATCATTGTATCTCAAAGACAGTATTTCTTCTCCTGTTCCTATCTCTCTACTCTCATAAATCTCTCTCCCCATTGTACATGTTCACCAGATGGCTATCTATACTGCTTTTAAGTCAAATTGATTTAGCTCAGCGACATAAGTGCCTGCCTTGCAAGCAGGCAGTCATGAGTTCGATCCCTGGTACCAATAAAAATGAAAAAGACAAAAAAAAAAAAAAAAAGTTAAGGAAATTAAAAGTTTGATCACAACTCTTTGTTGAGGGCAGTCTCAGTAAATTCTAACTACAGTTACAAGGTCACAGCTGCAGAGATCACACAATTGTCTCCAGAAAAAGCTCCCTTGGCATTTCTCTGATACACTGGAAGCAAAACTATTTTTTTCCCTTTTACATGGCAGTTAAGTTCACTCTCTCACCCCTACATTCCACTCCCAATATTGAAACTGAACCCAAGGCCTCTTGTATGCTAGGCAAACACTCCACCACTGAGTAACATGCCCTGCCCTTTCTAATTTCATCTTGAGCTAGAGTTTTGCTAAGTTGCCAGACTGGCTTTGAATTCTGAATCCTCCTGCTTCAGTCTCCCAAACAGCTAGAACTGCAGATATGTGCCACTTTACTTGGCCCCAAACTCATTCTTTCTTAGTAAATCCCATGTTTTGCCCTCTGGCTACAGCTGCTTGGCTCCAGCTCTCTAATCTAATCCTCTGGTTGCACTGACTCTATCTTATGATAGAGTCTTCCAGGGAAGTTATACTAGCACCCCAGAGACTACCATAGGAGAGTTTGAAGGCCAAATGTTTGGATAGAGCATCCATGAGGGACTCCGCCTGTGGGACTTGTTCATCTCCAAGCAAACCCAACCTGAAAAGCACAAGAGGAGGCTGCATTAGGCAAGTCCTGCACATGTTCTCATTAGGGAAACAGAAAAGGGTCCATGGAATTTTAGCTTTCTTAAAGTTTTTATTAGTACATGTTTACTAATGATTACACTACTGTGGTATACTGAGATTCTATCTTACCCCAGAAACAAAAGCTATCATCAAGAAATCAAATAATAACAAATGTTAGAGAAACCTCTGTGAAAAAGGAATCCTTCTACACTGTTGGTGTGAATGCAAAGTAGTTAAACCACTATGAAAATCAGTACAAATATTCCTCCAAAAACTAAAACTAGAAATCCCATGTGATCCTGTAATTCCCTTTCTAGGTATTATCCCCACCGAGTTACAAATACCTTATTGTAGCAGTACATGCATACCCATGTTTATAGCAGTATAACTCAAAATAGTTAAATCTTGGAAGTGGTCTACATGTCCATCAATAAATGAATCAATAAAGAAAATGTGCTATTTATAAACACTGAAGTACTACTCTGCCATAAAAAGGATAAATTTGAGTCATTTGTAGGAAAATGGACCCATCTTGAGACCGTAAGATTGAGTGAAATAAATCAAGAATGCAAGCTTAAACATTGCATTTGTTCTCTCATATGAGAAACTCAAAAGCTAAATAAATTAAGGTACAAAATAAGACAGATAATAAGAAACAGGGAGGGGAGTGAGAAGGGAAAAGAAAGAATATGATAAGAGAATTAAAATATGTAGAATTCTATCTTGAAAAGGCAAATATAAGATAACTGGTCAAGTTCTATGAATATACTAAATTGTGGAAAAACACAAATAGCAGTATTTTCCCCTCCAGAATCAACCCCAGACTCCTCAAGCATTGCTCCTTGAGGCTGAGCAGACACGACGCCTTGTAAACTCACATTGTTACTAAGCTTTGTTAGATCAATTTAGAGATTAACTGCACAGCAGTCATGTGTATTAATGCATTAAAGAAATTTAAGGAATATCAAGAGAATCTTATGCAGCAATGCAGAAATATCCCACTTTGTCCAGAAGCCAAGTGGAGAAGTGCTTGAAAAGAAGTATTTTCCAAATTATTCATGTCACTGGGTTGCTCCCTTTGTCTACTTTTTAATCTCACACATACATGGTACATGTCTTCTACCAATTGCAGGTCAACATTTGAGCAGCTAATTAATCAAAGAGATGTAAAATGTTCCTGTATGTTTTGACCTTCCTTTGACTAGTTAGGACCAGGTAATCACTGATGCAATGGACTTTACTCTGGATGAGATGATGGATGCCTACCCTTCAGCAGCTTCCAGCTGGGTGCTGTCCCCTCCCAGCTTCCTAAGGACAGCTTCCTTAAGCACACCACAAGTGGAGGAGCGTGAAATCCCAACTAGATCACACAGCAGCTGCTTCTGGTTAGGAAAATAAAGACAAAAATTCTAAATTCCTAATAAAATAAGAAATATACTAGTTGAGAATTTACCCTGTTAAGATACTATACTTAAAATGCATCTCATGTTATTAAATTAGAAACAATGAGCAAGAGTAAATTGTAATGATAATGACTGATATGCTGGGGTCACCACTAAGAACACCTGTATTAAGCTTTCCAATCCACTGCCTCAATGTGTTTCTCTGTATAAACACTAATCACTCCTGTCCAAGTAAATTGATGTTAAGTAAAACTTAAACTGGAAAGGCTCACAGACTCACACATACAAAACCTGAATTAAAAACATTTGTCCATTCTCTTTATGTCACTTTTTTAAAAATTTCTGTTGAAATAGAGGCACACTGGTTTAAGTTGAATACTGGTAATAAGTTAACTCCTGACAGGTAGCAAAAGCTCCTCTTTATATTCAGTTCCAAATTTCCAAAGTTCTTCCAACCCCAAACCCTAAAATTTGTGATTAACACAGGTAAAGTCAGACTCAGTATTTGAACTCAAATTATTTATGCTTTGGCATATGCATAGTCAACTCAGAGAACTAATGGAATTAGAAATTCAGTTCCGTGATATAGCAGCATCACTCCTGGATTGTCAGCTTCAGACTGCCCAAGTAACTCCTGTCACCACTTATATGACTGCGAGATTCCAGAGTCAATGTAAACAGCAAGGACATCTTTTCTCAGAGCTCAGGAAGCCATGCAGTGGGAAATGTTGGGGCAGCAAACTGGCCTGGTGTGTCAACCTCAGGCCATTTCCATCCTCCAGTAATGGTGAAGGGAAAAGGAACCTTCAGGTTAGATTGACTTCCTGTATCAGCTACAGATTGAATTCTTTTGCTGACCCAAGGCACAGATCACCTCTGACCATTTCAGAAGACATTCTGAAGAGCAGCAAAGAGCATGTAATTTTACAGTCACTCACCCAAGTGAGAGAGCTGACCTCAGATCGAAGGGAGGGATGTGCTTCTCTGTTTATAAGACCCAATTTTACAAATCCATTCAAAGCTTTGGAATATCCCTAAATCAAGAATTAATAAGAAATATGTGAAACATTTTCCTCAAAGAAGAACTAACTTTTCTTTTTTGAAGAGGTATCTATTGTGATACCTATTTTAATACACCAGTTGAAAACAGCTGTTTGGGGGTGAGGATACAGCTCAGCAGCATAAGCATCTGTCTGGCAAGCACAAGGCCCTGAGTTCAGTTCCCGGTACCCATCCACTACACACCCTCCAAATGAAAATAATTGTTTGTATTGTTGATAGAAATAAAATTACCTCCAAGCTCAAAATGAGATCAACAGTATCAGAAGAATTTCACCAGTTTATATAAAAGAAAATATCTGGCAAAACTTGGGTCTTTACTTCTGTTTTGGGTGCCATGTGAGTGGTATTTCCTGGCATCCTAAGGTCAAATGTTTACATGAGCTATATCCTATCAATTCAGCAGAATATTATTTCTTGGAACTGTCAGTTTTGCCCTTTCTTACAATGGAAAGGGGAAACTTATAAAGCTGATAATCTTTTCTACTAATTAAGAACCAGTAGCCTATACAAGGCTTATAAGGGATCAGGGAGAGAGGTAAGTATTAAAGATATTTCTAAAATGTAGACATGATGGCACTACACCCAGAAAAAAATTCTTACAATATTTAAGTATGCGTAAGAAAAAAATAATATAACACACACGTACACACACACACACACACACACACACACACACACATATATATATATATATATATTATATATATATATATATATAATATATATATATATATATATATATATATATATATATATATTATATATATATATATATATTATATATATATATATTTACACATATAATAAAAAGGGCAGCCATAGAAAAATGAGACAAACCACTGGCCAGTTTCCATATCAATATCATAGAGGTATCTCTGCCAATACACTACTGTTTTTCATTAATACCATTCCACACATGAACACCACCCCAAGTATCCTCAACTTCAATCCCTACATTAGATTATAAGGGAGACAGGGCAGACCACAGATAAGGACGTGGTATTAAGAAGTATGGTACAGAGAACTGCACTGTAAAGAGGGCCTGGAGCAGGCAGATGTGAGTGGTGCACATATCTGGGGGCAACAGTCTCTTAAAGATAAGACACAGCAATCTGAAAGTACAAAGAAATAAAGGGTCATCACTGGCCAACCTGTATGTCTTACAGCTTGCATAAAACAGACAATACAGGAAGTGGGTACTGGGTAACACACACAAGACAGAGCACCTCTGTGCCACTAGCCAGAATCTTCATACACTCAGATCTGAAATCAGACCTCTGATTGTTAGAGAAATGGGTATTTTAGGTAATATATAATTTTATTGGGTCGAATAATGTCCTCCTTGAAAATTCATGGCAACCCAAGATTCAAACTATGGCTTTATTTGGATACTTTGGGATGGAATATTAATTAAGAACCTCTGGGCTGGGGCTTTAGGTCAGCAGCACCAGCACCTGCACAAGGTGATGAATTTGATTGCCGGGGGGGGGGGGAAGAACCTCAATATTAAATCAACCTGGAGTACAAATCCAATGATTTACTCCTTACAAGAAGAAGAAAGAACATGACAAGATGAGGTGATATAAGACATAAGATGAGCTAAATGAGGTAAAAATATTGCAGGCAGTCAGACAGGGCTAGGTCATTGAAGAAGACAGTGCAAAAGATAAAACAGTACCACTGTGGGTGGAGGTACATTTACTTAAAGCCAGGCCTCAAGACAAAAACTAATGACAATACCCATATACTTTCCTGAGAGAGAAATAACAATACATGATATTCTAAGTAGGCACAGTCACCTGGATGGGGGACCAAGACCTCCTTGGCCCATCCCTTGCCAGAAAGATCCTTGCTAAGTGACTTGCTTGCCCAGTGGATCAATATTATCTAAGCGTCTATAATTGTAACCGCATTTGTTGCCCACAGTTTTGCCCCACCTTATACCCATCTCATGATTTTGTACTCACCTCATGGTTTTGCTCTATAAAACTTCCTTTGGAAAGTGGGCTCATGGGCAATCCACTTTCTGGGTCCTCTCCTATCTCTCTCCCAGGGAAGAGCTGTCTTTTCCTCAATAAATATTTTCTGCTCTCACCCTCCTTTATTCCTTAGAATTCATTTTTCAGTTTTGGGGAATACGAACTTGGCATATCAGACACCTAACAGGTTGAGGGTTACAGTATTTCCCTTACGTCATTTGGAGGTCCTAGATCATTCCCTTAGCAGTACAGGATGGAGCAAAGACTGTACTGATCTGACCACAGCCTAAGCTTCCAGCAGGTACCAATTTGCCCACATTTTGATTTCTGTATTTCTGAACAGTGATTAAAAAAACAAACAAACAAACAAACAAACTTCTGTTATTTGAAACCACGCAGTTTGTCAAAATTTAGTATGCTAGGAAACTATTACATGTGTTGTCTCGATATGGTAATATTTGAAATTGCTCTTTTGTGGATATTTGCACTTGTGCTTTGTTCCTGTAGTCTTACTATGCTTAAAATTTTTTTTCAGGTTTGTTCTGGGGGAGCCCCTATTATCCTATCACTTTTCCCAGGCCCAGGTCCTGTACTTCTAATGGTGCTGACTCCATCTTAAGCTTGAGAAATGTATAATGTGGGTCAAGGCTAAGTGAAATCTTTCTTTCCACTGACCTCAGGGAAAAATCAGTAGTATGAGGAAAAAATCATGTTTTCAGCTATTGGAAAGAGCTTAATGAATTTAACAGGCTATAAGAAGCCAAAACATTGCCATCATGTTGCCAGACTTTATGCTTCTGTGATTACTAGGAGGAAAGGCTGAGAGACAAAGAGAAATGGTGAGTTCACTTGACCCCAAGGAGGGCCAGTGAGGTGACTTGAACCCCAAATCTCTGAAGCTGACCACCTATCTGCCCGTGACTTCTAATGAATCAGTAAAGTACCATTTTGGCTTGGAGCTTCTAAAACATTCAAACAAAAGAACCCTAAGAAAACTGTCCTTGACTTGGTTTATCACCTTAATTTTTTATTACTACAGAAAATTAAGTATATGTACCTCTTACATCAAAATTGGCAACGTCTTTAATCTAAAATATAGCTCCTTACCTTGTATCTCAATGTTCCCCGTAACACAGTGTGAGCAGATGGAATGCCGTAAATCTCGGCATACCTGGTGCTGTCTCTGTTGGGATAGCCTTCCAGATTCAGTCCAGGGAAGTAATCCACAGATGTGACAGCATCCAGAAAGGAGACTCCTCCTGCAACATTCACAACCTGGAGAATGTTGGAAAGACACATGTGGTTACAGACTTTTGTTCCCCTTGGGGCTTATTTATATCGATGTCACAAAATAAACCAATAGAGGTTTTTAAAAAATTAACAAAACCACCATAACAGCATCCCATAGTGAGAGTTATAATAATTTATGACTGTTATAATAATTTATGACTGTCTTCCAAGCTTTCAAATATTAAGAAGTATTCTATTTTATTTAAAAAAAAAAAAAACCTGAAGGTCTTGTTTTCTGTTCTTAGCCAAGTAAAATGGCAATGAATTATGGCCCACTACTTTGCTTAAGAAAATTAATGAGCTAAAAGCAACATATGCTTATTTAAATAGTTTCTATGCTCAAATATCAATGACAGTATCCTCTCCTCCCTCCTCTACTAGGGTTTGAGCACAGACCCTCTGCAGTGAGCTACATCCCTAGGCCTTTTAATTTTTTATTATGAGAGTCTCACTAAGTCATTGAATTGTGCAAGCTGAGTTTGCAGTCCTCTTGGCTCAGCTTTCCACAGTGCTAGGATTACAGACATGCACCATAACCAAACCCTCTCGCCTTCTATTTGCAATACTCCTGTACCCCTTCTGGAACGTATATTAGACACTAGATTTACATAGTACATTTACACATCCAGCATTTATTGAATTTCTACCACATATGTGTGAGGAATCACATGAATTGTTGGAAAAACAAGAGTGTCAAATAACTTGCAATTCCTGGCTTCCTTTCACTCTTATTCATTGAAAACACATTTCCTGAATGTCTACCAAGTGTCAGGAACTGTGACAGAGGATCTATAAATAGTTCACAGCACTAGATTAGCACATAAAGGTGCATGTTGAGGATGGTGAAGGGCAGAAGAGAGATCTCCCATCACATCAAAGACAATGCCAAGAGCATACAGTGAAACTCAAATAAGTACAATATCATCTTAAAGTGAACAAGTTAAATCATCCAGTTCCCAAACTCCTTTTTTATCTCATCAGTTTTCTTGCCCGTACCCATTCCCCAGTACACAGTAAAATGGTTTTTGTCTTTAAAGGACAAAAAATAAGGGGTTAAATTTTATTTTGTTGTGAGGTTTGTGATTGTCCTTGAGATAATGGAAAGCATTCAGGACTGAGAATGTTGGATTTTGTCCTGGTTGCACTGCTGGAAATAATTTCTGACCACATTCTTTAAAACTGCACAAAGCAATACCATAGGAGGTTGCTACCAAAGGAATAAAAGACAGATTCAGAGGAATTTCCCCAAAGGAATCTTGGTTTAAACCTAGTAATTCCTATAGCATATTTGTAGATGGGCTCCACATGTGCCTGCCATAAGGAAGAAAATGGAGACTCATTTATATATAGCTAAAATCCCATAAGACAAAGGGTTACATCATCGGCAGTACCAGGATGGGTGAAGTCTTCTCACCATGCACAACCCTAATGGTATGGATCTGAAGGACGTAAGAGATGTTTTCTTTTAATGCTCCAGTGACCCCCTTGGTTTCCATATGAACATCTCCAAAGAGGTCATTTCTGTACTTTCTGAAAACAAACTTCTTATAATAGGATTCTAAATTTATTTAGAAAACTTAACAAAACAAGAAAATGTTACCCTTTAGGGTCTCCACACCCATCTGATTTCTATAATTTACAGCAATTCTAAATTCCTGCTTGCTTATTTCAAAGTCAAGAGAATTTTTTTAAAGAAATATTCAGTAAAAATCACAATATCCCAGCACTTTACTAACCAGTAATAAATCAGCTAGTTCATAAGTTTATCATCAGATCCTTGAAGAAAATCAGGAAATGTAAATCTAATGGTAGAGATTCATTTAGAAAGACTGACAGTAGGCTAAGCAAAGTGACCCAAAAATTACAGGGTGGATAATCATTACCACTTGACACCAACTCAAGAGCTTTATTTCTAGTCATATATCATGAGTTAAATAATAAACCTTGTTTTCTTTACTATTAGCAATGACTTGGATGAAGACAGGATAAATTTATCTTTTTCAAGAAAAATATTTATTTCTTTTTGCTCTCACAATGCTCATTCTCAATCAAGAGCCACTCCCAGAAGAGATAACAGCTCATTACTCATGGCTCTTGCAAGCTTTTCTAAATCCAAGTCTTACACACACACACACACACACACACACACACACACACACACACTTCCCTATCACTGAGAATCACTGTCATGCTTTAGAAAAAAATATTAAAATAATCACAATAAACCTGATCCATAGAGTGACAGGGAATTTAAGACCTAAAGTACATGTTTATTTATACATTCATTTAACAGGCCTCACCACCTGCCAGGAGCTGCATGTACCACATCTCTAATTCATGCCATAACATGTTTTTCTGATATAGAAACTGATGAGGTCACCTGGAAGCAAATTTCAGCCCAGTTCTACGTGGCTCCAGTGTCATGGTGTCTACCTGATCTTATTTCAGGAGCGGGATTCTGGTAGGGGCACTGGCACAGTATGGCAGCCCATAAAACACAACTACCAACAGAGAAACTGGAACTAAGAGAATATGTATCCTTGACCACAGATATGCAGAAGAAAACCACATTTATTAGGAATCATGCAAGAAGTCAGAAGTAACTGGCTGAAACTTACTGCAAGGATATAAGGCAATGAGACACATCTTAATTCATAGCTTACTTTCTAATTGTTGAAAAAGCTTAGGGCTTCAATTTAAGAAGCAGCCAGAAAAAAGTTCCTTGGTTTCCTGTTATGATTCTGTGAATTATTTAAGGCCTGCACCATGACAGAGGGTGATGGTGTCAGAGAATGTGGAGGCACAGAGTACGAGAGGTTTTAAGAAGTATAACAATGTGGCTTGGAAGACAGACTGATACACTTGAGCTGCTGAGTGAAGAGTGTAACACCCAGAATATTCTTAGGTACAACAATGGTTGTCATTAAGGTCAGAGAAAGAGTGGGGAATAAAGAGGCTAGAGTGGTCAGGAAAAGCACTGTCTGCAATGGGAAACTTGAGAAGGACCTTGAATAAAGTATCATTTTGGCAAAGAAAAGAGAAACCTCATGCTCTCTCTTCAAATACTCCATAGTGCCACAGAAATGTAAAAAGCACTCCTTCTTGCAAAGAGAGTTAAGATTCAGAGGGTAAAACTTTGAATTCAATTAATATGACTTTTGCTACCTGAATACAACCTTTCTCTTTTCCTGAGCTCTCATTTCTAAACTGATGACATGCCTGTCAATATGCTGTTAGGCAGAATGCAGTCTATGTCACCTCATTGGGTCATATGGTAAGAACTTTGCATACAAAGTATGCTGCAGATACAGAGCCGTAGGAACTGGCATCCAACTTTAGGGGGTGAAACATACAAACTAGAATCATATATGATAAAAAAAAAAAAGTTTGGCAGAATCTAGTAAAGTTAAAGTGAAACTTTAAAATAAAGCAAAACAGAAATCCTGCAAAGCTTGTATAGTTGTCCTTCTCTTCCTGGAGTTCACGTAGCCAGTGGTGACAGAGCTGGCTAAAAACCCAGGCCCCTAGCACGAAACCTCTTGTTGTTTCTACCAGGCCACACCCCAGTGACTTCCATTCTTACCTTCCTTATCATCTTCATGGCCTCCTGAAGACGATTTGGCCTAAATTAAGCAGAAATTGTCCTAGCCTTTTGAGGGCTATAGGACATTCTGTTTTCCAAGATTACAAAAGTAGAAGGAAACCACAGGAGACTGGTTACAGCATGTGAAACAGTGTGTGCTTGATAGACTGAGATTCTGGCCAACCCTTCATGATTCATGGAATTAGAGAGTAGATATAATGGCAGGGCTCACATTATAAATGGAGACTTATGTCCAAGGGACTTGATAATTGCCTGGCCTTTGATGACACTGTGAAGAATGGCAGCACTTGGATGCATCTTTTTTGGTGTCAGCCTAAAGCATCCTGCTTGTTTAGTAGTGTTTTCAGCTCTTGTCCCATGGTTATCAAATCATTTATTCTCAAACTCAGCTGTACATTTGAATCACTTAGGAGAGATTTTATTTATTTAAAAGAATTTTTATAGAAATATGTTGCATGTTATTATCAGTCATGGTATTTCATGTCTGTGACATACAGCATAGCTCATGGACTTGGTTGCACATGGAATCACCAGGAGAGTTTAAAAAGTATGAATGCCTGGCCCAATCCCTAAAGATTTTAACTGGCTGGCATTTGGGGATTTAAAACATCTCAAGAAATTATAGTTATTTATTACAGAGTCTATCTTTCCTGACATAAAGCAATCTGGAAAAGGGGGAAAGAAGAAGTTTTGGAGATACTTAGAAGTGGGTTTGAGTCTCAGTTAATGACTTTAGACATTCTCCTGAACCATAGGTTCCTTATTTTTAAATGGCAAGAATAATGCTAGAGCCTGAGAGTTTTTATGCTCTATCACACAATAGCTGGGGAAGAAATGTCATTTTCTTTCTCTAACAAAATAACTCTTATTTCCAAGAGCCACTCTCATCTAACTTTGAAATTCTCAGGGGTCAGGAACTTCACTTAGTGTAACAACCTTTGGTATCCCTCCTAAGTCCAACATCTGGAGGTAGACAGCAAGTATCTTACTGAAATACAGTGAAAGGTGACTAGTATTTACGTATTTAGAGAGGAGGAGATTTTCTGAAACACTTTGCAAGAAGCCAAAGAGAGAAGGATGAGGAAAGGCTTTGCTGGCAACCATGAGAGCACACTAAAAAGGACAGAAGATTTACTCAGGCAAGGAAAAGATAATGCAGGAAGTGGGCAGCATGGCCATTCCTAGATCTTCTGAGCAGGGACGGAGTTCACTTTCATTAGGCAGTTACTGCAGGTTTGTATTGTGAAAGCCCCCACAGTGCAACTTCACCTTTCCATTGAGCAGGTAAGTAGCAGGCTGCATTATGCCCATCAAGACTCCCAAAGGACTCCAGCTAAACTTGTATCGCAAAGGATTATCTGAGTGTTCAGGGGCTGGAATCCCACCACAGTAGGAAATGTAAGATTCAACCTGCAAGTTTAAAAAAACAAAACAATAAATTAGGGAGAATTCACTATAAGCTAGGAAAAATAATGTATTTAAATCATTGAGGATAATTATATGAATGGGGTCATTGTGATAGTCATCATTCTAATGTTACTACAATTTTCTTTTTCTTCTTTTTTTTAAAGAGTAGGAAGAATTTTTTGTGAGAAAGAACGTTTCTGTCTAGCAGGGGCAGACGGAAGCCCAGAAAGTGGGTTGTCTACCAACAGTTTTCAAACATACATTCTTAATGCCAAAACCTAGTTTGTTAACTCAGAGTAATAATACACACACACACACACACACACACACACACACACACACACACACACACAGAAAAGAAACAGAAAAATCTCTAGATCTAGTGAATAACATTTTGCTCATTTAAAAATTCAGCATTAGCTCAATTCTTCTTGGTCAGTTCCCTCACTATTAAGCTAAAATATTATAATACCTATTTCTCTAAAACATGATTGCTATTTAACACACAAATAATGTTTATATATACATAGAATTTTATTTGAGATTCCTAGTCAAGGGATGAGTTGTAATATAGCAGAAATCTTTTATCAAAACTACAGAAAGATCACTATTATACTCAAGAAATTGGACTTCTAAACATTTTCCTAAATGGATCCAAACTGGGCTCACCGTGGCTCCCATTTGCTTGGCCTTGTCAATTGTATCCATTGCCAACATATGATCAAGACCAGGGTCCAGCCCCAACTCGCCGATGATTGTGATGCCAGCCTCCTCCACACTGCACAGGTGCAAATGGAAACAGAAGTCAGAGCACAGAAGCAATGCACAGAGCCCCGCTGTTTTGGGAATGACTGGCACTTACCTCTTTTCCAGCTCTTTTAGTGCTGGTGTGATGTAACTTGCTGTGATCATGTTTACTTTGTTAGTGATACATGCCTTGGCCACAACGGGATGTAGTGCATATGGCAACAAGCTTGAAAAGAGAAACAGAGACTAACCAGAAATTCTTTTGCAACCTGTTCTTCCAATGTATCTTGAACTGCACTGAAACTCATCCTTAAGTCACTGATGTAATTAAATGATTCAGCAATGACCAAGGATTCTATAAACCATAGAATAAATCAGGTATCAACTTCTAAAAGCCTCCACCATGAGCCTCATTTTTACTTTTCCATATTTTCCCATCATTTTTTTTCACAAATCGTGCACGGAACCACAGAAGTTACTGTCATTCTCTCCTAAGACACTTTCCTTTTCAGTTCTGGATCTTTAGTTTTATTGTACCCACCGCTTGGAGTGCTTGTCAAATCCAACTGCTCCAGTTCAAGTCTTTGTAAAAGGATGCATGGAAGGGGACAAGGAGATGAATGTTGTGAAGTAAAGAAAGGGTTCAAGGGAACAAGGAGGAGGAGAAGGGGATATAAGCACAGTGAAGATATGCCATGTACGGGAACCTAATAATCTAAATAAATGTAAGTATTATATGCCATAACATGAGCTAAGATTAATAATATCAAGAATAATAAAAATCAGGAGAGGAGAATTAGAGGAGGATGGAGGGAGGGAGAAGAAAGAGGATTTAAAAAGAAACAAGATGCAATATGTACAGGTAACTACTCCCCACAATGGCTGCAAACTGCGTGTACTACAAACATGTACTAATAAAATTTAATTCAATTTAATTTTAAAAAAATGATTGAATAGTGATTTTCCTCCAAGAACTTTTGTCAAAAATCTATTCCACTCCTTGTTTTCAGTTATATTTTAAAGAGAAAAAATGTTTAAAATGCAAAACAAGATAATAAGAGGATAACAATGGTTAGTACACTGTACTGCTTTTGAATTAGTTATTCAGAGTATAAGATATCAGCACTTAATTTTCCAAACAATATTAGCAGAAACCTTTGTTTTCAATGAACTAAAAGAAAATAGTAGTATAACTATCCTGTCATATATATATATATATATATATATATATATATATATATATATAAAATTTGTTTTTCCCTTCCTTCTTTAATCCATTCCTCAATACCAGTTTCTCTTTCCTTTTGAAGCTTCTTCCCATTTTATATTTACTGTACATTTTAGATCTTATTTGACTCCTCACACTAGGAGACAGTACAGTGTTTACACATGAGTCTGATTTATTTCACTTATCAGTATGGTTTGAGTGACACTCATTTATCTATGAAAGCCTCCAGTTTACCCTTATTAATGACGAGTAGTACCGAATTGCATAAAACTACCACATTTTTCTATCCCATTGTTTGGTTTAGGGGTATTTAAGTTGTTTTCAAGATCTAGCTATTACAAATTGTACTACTATAAACATGGATGCACAAATATCACTGTGGTGTGATGTTTTTAATTCTTCTGGGAAGATATCCAGAAGAGGGATAGCTGGGTTGAATGGAACCTATAGTCCTAGACTTTTGAGAAATCTCCACACTGATTTCCACAGTGATTATACCAGCCTATACTCCCACCAACAGCAGAGAAGGGTTCCTTTTTCCCCCACAGCCCATCCAGCATTTGTTATTGGTTGATTTTTTTATAATAGCCTTTCTCTCCAGGCTATTAATTTGCAACTCTTGAATGACCAGTGATGTTGAACATTTTTTCATGTATTTGTTTACTGTTTGTATTTCTTCCACTGAGAAATGTATATGCATCTCAAATTGAGATGCATGTATTCATTTCTGGATTGGGTCTTTTTAAATTTGGAAGGTCTGATTTTTAAAAGGTCTTTATATGTATTCACAGAAATTCTTTGTCTGAGGAGCAGCTGGAAAACATTTTTGTCCCACCTTGTAGGTTGTCTATTCAATCTGTTGGTGGTTTCTCTTGCTTTGCAAAGCTATTTAGTAAGATGAGATCCCAATTGTTGATTCTTTGTGCTAGTTCCTATGTAGCTAGGGTTTTATTCATAAAGTCTTTGCATATACCAATGTCTTCAAGTGTTTTACCTATTCTTCCATTAGATTTAATGTTTATTTTAATATTTAGATCTTTGACACATTTCAAATTTAGTTTAGTGCATGGTGAAAGATGTGGGTCCAATTTTAATCTTCAGCATGTACAGCCAGTTTTTCCAGCACCATTTATTGAAGAGGCTATCTTTCTTCCAGTGAATGTGTTCAGCACCCTTGTCAAAGATATTATGACTTAATATACCTGGAGTTGTTTCTGCATCTTCTAATCTATTCTGTTGATCTATTGGTCTATTTTTGTTTTGGCCAGTGCCACACTGCTTTTATCATGGTAGCTTTACAGTATAATTTCAAGTCAGGTATTGTAGTGCCCTCTGCCTTGCCTTTATTGCCCAGAATTGCCTTTGTTTTTCTAGGTCTTTTCTGGGTTCAGATGAATTTTAGGATTCTTTTCTCTAATTCTGTGAGATATGCTATTGGAATTTTGATCAGAATTGCATTAAATCTGAATAAGAGTTTTTGGTAGTATGGTTATTTTCACTATAATGGTTCTTCCTATCCATGAGTAAGGGATATATTTACATTTCCTCATATCCTTTTCAAACATTTTCAGAGTACTGCAATTTTCAATATAGAGGTCTTTTATATTATTCATGAGATTGACTCCTAGGGATTTCATTTTTTGGGATACTGTTGTGAAGCATATGTTTCCCTAATTTCTCTCTCAGTGAGCTTATTATTCATGTACAGGAAAGTTACTGAATTTTTAGTGTTGACTCTACATCCAGCTATGCTACTGAATTTGTTTATTAAATCTAACAGGTTTTAAGTGGAGTTTTTGGGCTCTTCCATGTAGAGTATCATGTCATCTATAAATAATGATTGAACATTTTCCTGTCTTATCATTATTCCTCTTATAGCTTTCTCTTGTCTAATTGCTCTGGCTAAAGTTTCCCAGACCATGTTGAATAAGAGACAGTGGACAGTGGGCAGTGGACATCCTTGTCTTCTTCCTGATTTTAGAAATGCTTTCATTTTTTGTCTATTTATCATGATGGTGCTTATTAGTCTGTTGTAGATGGATTTTTATCAGAGTGAGATAAAAACCATTTGTTCCAATTTTCTCTAGGTTTTTTTTTAATCATGAATGGATGCTAGACTTTCTCAAAAGCTTTTTCTGCATATATTGAGATGATCATATGATTTTTATCCTTGGCTCTGTTAACATGGTGTATTACCATTTATTGATTTAGGTATGTTGCATCCTTGAGATGAATCTCACTTGGTCATGTTGCATAATCTTCGTGATGATTTATTGCATTCTATTTGCCAGTATCTTATTGAGGATATTTGCATCTGTGTTCATTAGTGATATTGACCTGTAATTCTCTTTCTTAGTCAGGTCTTTCTGTGGTTTTGGTAGTATGGTAATGCTTGCTTCACGGAATGAACTTGGAAGTACTGTTTCTCTTTCAATTTCATTAAAGAGTTTGAGAGGTAGTGATGCTAGATCTTCTCTAGATTTCTTGTAGAATTCATCAGTAAATCCATCAGGTCCTGGATTTTTCTTTGTTGACAGGTTTTTAATTAAATCTTTGATTTCACTGATTGATATTGGTTTACTTAGGATTTTTATATCTTGATTCACCTTTGTTAATTCATATGTAGCATTCTAGGAATTTGCCCATTTTGTCTTTGTTTTCCATCTTATTAGAATAAAATTTTTCAAAGTAAGTGTAGATGATCTTCTGGATTTCTGCATAGTCTGTAGGGATTTCACCCTTTGCATTCCTAATTGTATGGATTTCTGTCTTTTCTGCATTTGGGGAGGATGTTGATTTAATCTTTCAAAAAATCCTTTGAGTCATTGATTTTATTATCTTCTAGTCTCCAATGTGTTAATTTATGCTCTGACCTTTATAATATCCTCCCTTGTACAGCTTTTGGCTTAGCCAGTTCTTTTTCTAAACTCTGGGTTTGACATTAAGTTGCGTAGTTGTGCTTGCTCTGTTTTCCTGATATGAGTATTTACTCCTACAATTTTCCCTCTTAGGTCTGCTTTCATTGTGTTCCATAAGTTCCAGAATGTAGTACTGTTAATATCATTCAATTGTAAAAACTGTCTAATTGCTTCTTTAATTTCATCTGTGATTTATTGGTTGTTCAGGAGGACCTACTTAATTTCCATGTATTTATGAAGTTCGTGTGGTCTCTTTTGCCATTGGTTTGCAATTTCATTGCACCATGGTGTGATAACATGCATGAGATCACTTCAGTCCTTTGCACTTACTTAAGCATGTTCTATGAGCTAGTATGTGGTCTCTTTTGGAGAACATCTTGTGTGCAGCTAAGAAAGATTCATATTCTGATGCTGGTGGGTGGAACACACTATAGACATATACTAAGTCCATTTGCTCAAATTTTTGGTTCAGTTATCATATTTCATTGTTGATTTTTTATCTAGTTGATCTGTATTTCTGTGACAGTGTGGTTTTGAGGTTTCCTAATACAAGTATGTTAGTGCTTATTTGATTTTTCAAGCCCATTGATATTTGTTTTATATAGTGAGGTGAACTGGTATTTGTTGCATATATATTTATGATTGTTATCTCTTCCTCTTGGATTGTTTCCTTTACAAGTAGGTAGTGACCTTCTTTATTTCTCATAATCAGTCTTGGCTTGACATTCACTTTTCGTGCACACAGAATACATATGCTTGCTTTTTCTGGATTCCTTTCACATGGAGTACTGTTTTCCATTCTTTGACTTTCAGTCTATGAATTTTTTTTAGTTAAATGTGTATTTTGTATACAACATATTGTTTGATCTTGTTTCTTAATCCATCCTGCCAGTCTCTGTCTTTTGATTGGTGAATTGAGACCATTAATATTAATGGTTATAACTGAAATGTACTATTTATTGTTGTCATGTTAATTTCCTGTTGTTGGCTTTCCCTCTTCTTTTCCCCTCTCTCTGTTTGTTTGCCTTGCCTGATGGATTTCTTCTGTTGGAGTTCATGGTGATTTAGCCCTTGTTATCTCTTTCCAGAATGTGCTTCAAAACATTTTTGCGTGCTGGTTTGGTGATGATAAATTTTGTCAAATGTTCTTTGTCATTGAAGTATCTTATTTCTCCATCAGTTTCACAAAATAGTTTTTCACGGTACATCAATCTGGATAGAAGATTGTTTTCTTTAAGAACTTGAAATACTTCATAGAAAGCTCACCTTGTGAGGGTTTGTGCTGAGAAGTCAGCTGTGATTCTGATGGGCTCTCCTTTAGAGGTGATTTGTTTCTTTTCCCCAACAGGTGGTGTTTGTTTGTTTGCCTAACAACTTTTAAGATTCTATTCTTGTGTTGAATTTCTGGAATCTTGACTAAGATTTGGATGCCTGTAGATTTTTGTTTTTCATTTTCTGATCATGGCTAATTAGAGTCTATATGCCTCACATACCTGTATGTCAAATTCTTTTTCTCTAAGGAAAGCTTTTTTTTTTTTTTTTTTACATCATTTGCCCTGCCTCCAGCTTTTTCATTGAATCCGATCAATATTAAGTTATTCTTCTTTGCCTTATCTAGCAGCAGATGGATTGATTTCCTATGATCCCTTACTATTTTTAAGAAATCTATCTTTTCATGATCACTAACTACAATCCTGTGAATATTTTCAATGGAATTTTTATTCTCCTGTGTATCTGCTTTAATCTGTCTTGTGGATTCAATTTCAATTTCTTTCCTATGCTGAGAATTCATGGCTATCACAATTTTCTTAAACTCATCTGCTTTTTTTTTTTTTGGTCTGTATCTGCTCTAGAGTTGTTAAGCATGGTCTTTATGGTGGACACTATCTCAGCAGCTATGTGAGAAATTTCTGATTTGATTTTTTTTCAGAACCTCCTTTTATTGCTCGTTGTTACCACATCAGAGAGGCTAAGTGAGAAGCTATTGGATTTTCCCCTGAGTTTGCCTTTGCTGACCTGTATGTCTGGGACTGCATCCTGTTTAAGTGTCATCTCACTTTTTTAAGTTTAATTTCTGGGGTACTGCATGTAAATTGCCTGTGGTAGGTTGCTTTATTGCTAGTAAATAGAACCCTTAAGTAATGTATACTTCTCCAAGTTACCTTCTAGATGTAGCTGGATTTGGGGTTTTGAGTCTGTTGAAAGAGCCAACCTCTTCAATTTGTTGGACAAGAGAAGATTCTGCTTATTTGACCCGGTCCCTGGTTCTTTGGCACTATACCACAGTATTTTCTGTGACCTTTAGTCAATCTCACTCATGGATTATCAGGAAGAACAGCTATTTAGAGAAATTATGACACATTTGACTATAGTGGTACCAATGGCATCAAACACAGCCTAAAAAAGTGACAAACTGAGCTAACCATTAATTTGCCACTTTTAACCATATGAACTAGATTTGTGGTTATATAACAAAATCTAAAACAAACCAGAAAATTCAATGCAGTGTACCAGTCCTTGCTATGTCAATTTTTCCCTCAGGAGTTAAAATTTAAAATGGATTAAGGAGAAAATAGACAAGTGAAAAGCAGGAATTGATAAGAAATAAGTTTAGAAGACAAAGGTGGGGGATCATGCTAAATTTGGGAAACTAGTACAGAAGACAGGAGGGAAAGAGAAAAGAAAGAGATGAAATGAAGAACAGAACAGAATCACAACCACAACGAGGCTAGAAACCACGTTTGCACTCATAAAAGCAAGATCAAACAACGAAGTTAAAAAAAAACCACAATAATGACAAAACAAAGAGAAAGAAAGCATAAAAAAGAAAAAAAATCTTGCAAGTTTGTTTCTTCTGTCACTGGTAGACAAAGTGTGGAGACACAGTCCTAATCCATGGCACCAAGCAGGCTACCAGTAGTTTTTTGGCCGAGTGGTGATAATCTCAGCAAGCCTGCACTTTGAGACTCAGTCAACCTGCAGGCACCCACACACCTTCTGGAGGCCTGAGCTCAGATGGGAGCCACTAGATAGAGACGGCAGCTGCTCTGAGTTCTGAGCTCAGTCGGCCCCTCTCCTAGATGGTTCCCAGACAACGGCCAGAGGATTGAGCCCTCAGCACTCACTGTCAGCTAATGTAATCCTTCACATCCACAGCTCCCTTCCACTGCTGCATCTTGTAGTGCCAGAATTTTTTATTATTTGATTTCTTGATGATTATTATTTTTTCTGGCATAAGATAAAATCTTATCATTGTTTTAATTTGTATTTCTTTAATGGCCAAAGACATTGAATATTTTTTCATATGTCTATTGGTCACTTCTGAGAAGTACTTCTGAGAAGTGTTATTGATTTCAGTTGCCTATTTTTTTGACTGGGAGTTCTAATAAGTATTCTTTATATATGCTAGATATTGTACTTCAAAGTTTAAAACTATCAGAAGGCACATATGTAGCCATGAAAATGAAATACTAAAATGTGCTTAGCAGCATAATTCATAACATCCAAAATCCAGAAACAACTCAATATCAATCAATACTCAAATGAGTAATAATGATACATTCATATAAGTAATGTACAGCAATGAGATAAACTACAATTATAGACAATAACTTGTACAGTACTGAATGAAGACATCCATAAATGAAGATGTACTTGACAATTCTAATTATAGAAACTTTCACAAAAGGCAATTATTAATCTGTATGCTAGAAACCAGAGTAATATTTACCCTTGTGGAAGGCTAAAGAATAGAAAGAGGCATAAAGAGGGCTTCTGGTATGTTAATGACAACCTGTTAAATGATGATTACAGCATTTGCCTCAAATTTGTGAAAATTCATGGCGCTACACATTTATGTTTTGTGCCTGTTATGGATACATATTTTGAATGAAAATTACATGAAGAAAGGAGAGGAAAGAGAATGAGAGAGAAAGGATTGGAGAAGAAGGAAAGGAAGGTAGAGGGAGGGGGAAAGAAGGAGGAGGGAAGAAAAAAGAGAAAGAAAAAATAAGGAAAGAGGAATAACAAAAAATATGTGGTACTCATTTTTTCTGTCAGATACCTGATGACAAGGTCCTGTGTTGCCACCAAGGAGTTCAGCTTTTCTTCTTGCTTAGCAATGTTCATGCTAACAGGATTAATATTGTATTTACTGCCCAACTGCTTAATTTGACTCATCATGTCAGAGCCTATTTCAAGAACAAAAACATCCAAGTCTTAGATTTCCTGCCATTGAACAAAGAGCAATAGACAATTTAACATCTTCAAAAAATGATTTGTCCACTTGTAGAAACAAAGAAGTCATCTAAAATTTACAAGGTCCACACGTTATGAAATCAGCTTTTCTTCTTCAAAGATTAAGGCTCATTTACCTAATGTTATTTCTATATTGCAATCGCGTGACAAGTATTCTAATACAGGCCCAGATACATAGCCAGATCCAAGAACTAAAACCTTCTTCTTCGTGTTCATTGAAAGTAATTGAACACGTTCTCTGTTTAAAAGGAAAAAAAAGAGAAAAATTAAAATTTCTATTAAAAAATGAAAAAATACCACAAACAGGACACACACACGTGCCACACACACACACACACACACACACACACACACACATTTCTACATGTTTTAAATAGCAGAATCATTTGATTCCTGGTATTTAAAAAACAAAAAAAAAAACCAGAATCCTGATGCTCTGAAATCAACTCCAAACCTACCTTACAAAGCAACAACCACTCCCCACATTACTTACAATAAGAACCTAAATAGGAGTTCCTTATAATAATATTTAATATTTTATTATAATATTTCTCCTTATTATAGATTTCATACAGTAAAAAGTTACAGATCTGACATCTATGGTATGTCCTACCTTATAGACTTCCATGAATCCTCAGTATTACTAGTGAAGTACACATACTGGACCAGTTCTCTACTTATTCACAACTGAGTGACTGAGTCTCACATGTTATCCTTCCAGGGGATGGGATTCAAAATCATACTAGAGGTTTTACAGCGGACATCTAGTTAGTCCTTATAACAATCCAACGAGACAAAAATCTGAAGTGGGGATAATTACTACCCACATTAGAAATTGTTTTGTCATATATTTTGAAAGTTATGTGAAAACAGTCAAAACCATAAATTTGAAATCACACAAAGGACTTTATCCCCAAAACATACACATTACTGATAAGAAAACCTCTCCTTGAACTATTATCCCTTCTATTTCACTTCTGGGGAACAGGAAGATAGATCTTTTCCAAGTGTGAAGGGGACGAAGAGTCTGGGGGATGGGCATAAAAAGATGTGTCATGTACATGTACAAACTACTGTCAATGAATGTAATCTTTATAGATACAGATATAAATATAGCCTTTATTTATACAGATATAAATAACAATAATAAAATATTTAAAAAGAGAGATCTACGGACAGATAGAGGGAAGTGGTGGGGCATAGAAGCAAATTACAAGGAATCAAGATATGTTCAATGCAAGAACTCACTCCCTAACATGAATGCAAACATTATTTACTTCAAAGACATACTAAAATAGGGTGACAAAATTAAATCAAAAGTTTAACTCTTAAAAATCAGTATGGTATAAAAGAATCACACTATCAACCAAAAAAAAAAAAAAAAAAGATACAATCAAGTGCAATGAACTGGAGGAAATCAGAATATTCCAAAGAAAAATTAATGTTTTCAAATTCCAAGCAGTAAAATCATTTAAAGGAAGAAAAGCCTTAGCTAAGAATCTTTCTAAGAGAAGTATTCTCTTGGGGACATGTACCACACTATTTTGGGATACCTTCAGCCTAATTAGAATCCCTAGAGAAAACTACCTCTCACCATTTAATTTTTTCACTGTTTCCCTTCATTTCTACTCAAGATTCATTTCTTATTCATTAGACTAAACAAAAAAAGTTCAAACTCTTAACTAGAACTCAAACTAAAAGCATCACAGAAAGAGATAATGCGCTCATTTTCCCTTGAGAATATGACAGGAATCACAATATGTGAAATGCTGGAGATAGAACAAAAGATTACATAAATCTCTTCCTTAACTTTTTATTGTTTACACATAAATGTGGACAAGGTATTATATAGCTTAACAATGCTATATTACTCTCTAAGGAAAAATAACGCACACTGGTTTCAGTTGTCCACTTTGTTTGGACTTTCTGCCTTTACAGACATGATATTAACAAGATTTACATGTTAAATAAACAATACAAAAAACTCCTCTTGGGGCTTTTAAAAATATTCACCTAATTCAATAGTAGAATAAATGCCTTAAAATAAGAGGATTTGAATTGTACTTACCTGCTCTCTCGGAGTTTCTGGATATATTTATATTTATCAGTCAGTAAACCATTGGATGTAATCACTGCCTAAAGTAGACAACACAAGACATTTCTTTAGTACCCACCAGTCTAATCCTACAAAAATGGGCTTATTACTGAGAGAAAACCAGCAGAGTGAAAGGAAATAGAAAAAGAAACATAGAGAATGGGTAAAGGACTGAGGAAAGCCAACATGGTAGTGGGAAAAAAATACACTCCCGGAAAGGAATTCTTATAACTTACATCTCGCACCACAGGAGAAAAATTCTGACTTTCAAGTGGCTGGGATGCATCTGATAATAACTAAAAGGAAAAAGAGATTGGCAAAATATAAATGATGTTGAAATGGGAATTTGTTAATGTCGTGTATCCATGTAAAAACACTAATCAAAAAATGTTTAGGAAATAGTTTTCTAAAGATCACTGAATACAAATAATTGGTAATAGAGATCTGCTATAAACAATCCACTCATATCCCAAAAACTTTATGTTTCCATGCAAGTTTCAATTTTAAAATTAAAATTTGATTGTAATAATTTTGGCTTGCTACAATCACACAAAAAGGCTTATTTTCCCCAACTCATTAAATGTATCATATGAACATGCTTTAAGTAAAGCTCCATACCCAATCTTGTCTTTAAGAATTTCTATCCCATTCCAAAGGTTTAAGCTGTTTCACTGGAAAGAGAGAATGGGGTTTCCTGTTCAGCTAGCTGGCCAACCCTGTGGTACTGGTCTTCCTCCAAGGTCAATACCAGTTCTATACAAAAGCCCGCAAGCATTTCAGAAGTAGTAGAGAAAGTGACTCAACTAAGTGGACCTAAAGACCATCAGTACTCTCTCTCCTCATTACCTCACAAGATGTAGTCAGACAGACAATGATAAAAGTTACGTATCAACATAATAGCATCCTCATAGTCTTTCTGTTTTCTCCCAAAGTACTCAACCTTGAATATACTGCCAACGGTACATGGTGAATAGCATATAAGTCAGTGTTGTTATTTCTAAAGGGTAAGGAAGGGTCAGTGAGACCATCTCTCCTGCCTAATCTTTAATTAAGATCTAGACCTCCCCCAACTAAGATAGATATATATATATATATATATATATATATATATATATATATATAGCACATGCTGGCAGCAGGAAATTTATTTATTGTATTAAAGCAAATGTTATACTACAATCGTGGACCTAAAGCACAGAATGTGTAAGCTACCTATCACTCATACGTGTGTGTGTGTGTGTGTGTGTGTGTGTGTGTGTGTGTGTGAGATAAGAAAACAGAATCATTACACCTGGGTGTCCCCCTGCTCCGTTCCTTCAGAAACCCCTTCAGTGTTCCCTTCTCAAAAGAAAACACTTTCTTCTCCTGACTGGCCAGAGGCCAACGCTGTTAGGAGATAATAAAATGAGGCTCTAGTATCACCTAGCACATAGTTAACCTTCTCTTGCTGATAATCTGTAATCCTTTCCCATTATTTAGGTCTCGCTGGGACCTTGGAACCCACCTCCTACCCCATTTTCTCCCATTTTCTTCCAGTCTAAAACATTAACTTGGTTCTTTCTCCTATTTTAAATAACTCAATAACCACCCAATGTCTTCAGTATGAAGCCTTCATCCAGCTCCCTATACAACCTACAACACCTTCTATAGTCTGGCCCTTCCTCTCCAGCCTCTCTTCCTTTTGACCTCATATCCAACACTGAATCTTGTTTACTGCTGGCCTCTGGTGTCTGCCTGTACCATGACTTCATATGCTTTGAGTTATATTATGTATGTGCCTCACACACTATATATCCTCTCCCCTGAGCCTGCCTCTCCATCCTATAAGACATAGATGAAAAAGCTCCTCTTTTAAGAAGACTTTACCAAAATCTGCCTCCAGACACAACTTTAGGGGATCAATGACACCTAGAATCTTACTAAATACCTGTCAAATAAATTATTAAATATGTGAAATAATTATTTAAATTAAACACATTTTCCCCAAGGAAAATAAATAGTTATCATGCGTCCACCTAAGGATAGAAAATACAGGAAACCAAAAAACTGTTCAATTACTGCACCTCTCTTTTGAGAATTCAAATATAGTAAACTATAAGCATAATATTTTTAAAACATATGATTTGTCTAGTAACTTTCACATATGACACTTGATACCACATTACTGTCCTATATTATGGTGTTAAACTTCTTTACAATATGAAGCTAACATATTTATATTTCTTCAATCAGAGTTGACAATTCAACTCCCACATTTATTCTGTCTCCATCACATGTCTCCCATTCGATCCAGCTCTAATGTCATCTGTTTCATAAAACCTTGTTTGGGCTGGTCAAAAAGACACTACCTTTCCCTCCACAACTTCTTTGGTGGCTTTTTGATGGCTGCCTCATTCCATCTTATAGTTAATTCAGTCATACCGTCGCCTCATTCTCCTACCAGACCTCATGCTTCTGTAGGTCAGAACGTGTTTTAATTCTCTTTGTTCCTAGGTATGACTTGTTTCAACAGATACTCAGAAGTATCTTTTGAATTGAGCTAAAACACAATTTTCATACTGAGCACAAGTGGCATCTTGTGTTCTGTAATACTACAGATATATGATCAGTCAAAAAAGACTGTCAAAAAGAAAACTAAAGAGGAAAGAGGCAGTGCATACAGTCTGAATATGCATATTCAGTGCATACAGTTTTCATCCCCTTACTAGAAGAAGACACAGATAATACACTTAACTATTTAGAGAAAAGCAAATACATATACATCAAAACGATGAGACAGGGACAGTCATTGGTTTTCACACAGGGACAGTGCTTAAAGATAATGTCAAGATAGAAGGTCTCAAAATAATTCCATCAGTACTGTTTGGAGAATTATAGGGATATAAAATGTGAAGATGTGAAAAGTTCTGGGAAGCAGGTTTAATCCTCAGATTCCCAAGAAACACCTCTTGTCTCGATGGTACTTAAAACCTTCCAAATGGCTGTCTAACTCTTATAACCTTGTCATACTGTCTACAATTCTGTTAATTACTGGGTGTATATAAATACACACATATATTGTTAAGTATACATTCTCCACCTAACAATGGTGATTAGCTGCTTTGTAATTAAACCTTTTACTGAATAAAATCAGGAAAAACATAAAAAGCTTTCCGTTTTAGGCTCAAAGAGTATCGGAGGTTTGTGGCACGGTAGCTATGAAGAAGGAAGCCCAAAGAGAGGAATCAGATATTTGGCATCATTTGTCTCCTTTTTTCCCAAATCCATTTTATTCAAGGATAAAAAGAAAAAGAAAAAGAAGAAGGAGGAGGAAGAGGAAGAGGAAGAGGAAGAGGAAGAGGAAAAAGAAGAAGAAGAAGAAGAAGAAGAAGAAGAAGAAGAAGAAGAAGAAGAAGAAGAAGAAGAAGAAGAAGAAGAAGAAGGGGAGAAGGAGGAGGAGGAGTAGAAAGAAAGGAGGAAATGGAGAAAGAGACAGAAGAGGAGGAGAAGGAGAAGGAGGAGAGGAGTACAACAAAATTTCGAAACATATCAGGCATTTGGCAGTGAAAAGCAGTCTGTGATGACTGGTGGTGAAGCAGTAAGGAGCGGGAAAGCTGAAAAACTCAGAGGAGCTACTGGGTGGCTTTCAACAAGAAAGCAACAAAAACTGGACCTTTAGGTCTGCTGAAGAGGAGCCCTAACCTGACCAGACTTTCATTTAGGATGCTGAGAGAGTACAGCAGGTATGGCTGCAGTACATGGTGAATGGTTAAGCTGCACAGTGTATTATGGTATAAGATACACTGTCACTGACCCCTCTCAAAATACACACCCCACACCCTTACTCGGTTCTTGCCACTTTCTTGAAGCCCTCTTTCACATCTTTTCATGGCTGCCTCAATGACCTTAATCTATTCAAAACATCTATCTTCCATGGTTATTTTGCTTTGGGGGAAGAACAGATGTCACAGTGTGAAAAAGGTGGATGAAAACATATTGCAATGTTTTTGACAGCAATTGCTGTAACATTTTGAGCCCGGGGTAGTGGCTCATGCCTGTAATCCCAGAACTCAGAAGATGAAACAGGAGAACCAATATGAGCTCAAGGCTAGCCTGGGCTACAAAGTGAGTTCAGGGCCAGCCTGGACTGCTTAGTGGAGTCTTGTCTCAAAAAGACCAAAATAATAATAATAATAATAGTAATAATAATAACAATAGCATTTTGAGCTGTTTTAGGACACTGAAGCAGTACCACACAACTAAAAACACTCACAAAAGAGGACTTTCTTTCAGAACTGGCTCAGAAAGCAGCAAGAATGCAGCAATAGGTGTGTTCAAAGTGAGAGATTAATGTGTCTTTTACTGTAATAACTTTTTTACAAAATTTCAAAGTTTACATAGTGTATTTTTCTATCAGAACTCATAATCTAAAATAAATCATAATGTCTTGGATTCAACAGGGCTGAACAGAGGGAGAGCCTAATTCTGAGCTACTCAAAAAAATTCAACTAAAACATGGGTAATTGGAAGAGAAAGGACATACACCCTGAAACCAAAATCAATCTGACATAAGAGACTACTAGATGAAACCAAACATAGATAAAGGGTTTAATAAAATGCCAGCCAGCCCACCTGGATCAGGACAACTGACCCCCACACTTGGAATCTTAAAAGAAGAGGAAAGCAAATGCTAAAATAAGGTGGTTAACCTCCCTATGAGTCGGCACCACATGCAGGCCACTGGGGGAGAGCCAGGTGCCAGCTCTTTACCATGAGGTGGCGCCATTCATGGACTGCAGGGGACGAGAACAAGAAGTCAACAAGAAGCCAAGCCTTCCCTGTGAGTCAGTGCCACGTGCAGGCTGCTGAGGGGAGAACCAGACCCCAGCCCCTGATGTGCATGAGCAAGGAGACAGAAGAGCCAAGGTCTATACCCACATCCCCTTTAAGCAACCAGCTAATCTGGAGAAACACAGGCTGCGATGATAGCTATTGAGGTAAAACACAATTTAGTGCTATTGAGGTAAAATACAACTTAATGCTTGACATGTTTAGTGTTTCACTGACTTTGCAGGCGTAAAGCCAGTACTCTGATCATCTATTTATAGGATAACAATACTCAATGTAGCATCTAGGGGGATTGCCTTCTGAAGGTGGTGGCTATTGTTAATTCCCTACTACCTTGTTTTGAAGTCATGTATCATTTTCACTGTTTTGTTTGGTTGTGTTTTGTTCTGTTTTGTCTTGTTTGATTTTATTGTATCTGATGGCATGGGCAGTTATTTCAAAGCTAACAAAATTATGGCAATCATTTTGG